AAGTGGGAAGCAGCCGCATAGCACAGGGAGATCAGCTCGGTGCTTTGTGACCACCTGGAAGGGTGGGATAGGGAGGGTGGGAGGGAGACGCAAGAGGGAGGAGATATGGGGATGTATGTATACGTATAACTGATTCACTTTGTTATAAAGCAGAAACTAACACACCATTGTGAAGCAATTATACTCCAATAAAGATGTTTTAAAAAAAAAAGTGAAAAATAAAAAATAAAGAGGTGCTTTCATAAAACATTGGTGGTGCTGATTTCCTAGACGCGGCCTGACTTTGAAAGGAGAGGGAAAAAAGGCACCATAAATCAGCCAGCCAGTTAGAATCCAGGGAACATTCCGAAGCCCTCAAATAGCTGTGGAAGGAGGGCAGAGCCAGGGGAGGGCACGATGCCACAGTTGTCAGCCGTGCTGAGCTGTGGTGACCACTTCAGCCAGCACACCTGACTTGTATATTGAACAGGGAGAACCTACCAGAAAGATGGAGGCAGGTTTGGGAAATTTTTAAAAGGGGTAACGGTTAAAAAAGCAAGGAGGGTGGCCATCACATTCAGAAAGAGAAAAGGACAGATTCATGTAGCTTATTTCAGCCTCACACCTGTTGATGAGAAAGTCATTGCTCTGAATCCTGCCCACTCACCTCTCCCCCTTTGTCCTTGGGACAGCGGCCGGCGTAGCGGCCATCGGACCAGCCCTGGGAGGTGCCTATGTGGACCCCTCGCCCATCGCCAGCCACGTCATCAGTGCGGACGCCATAGAAGGTAACAGCCCAGCTCACCTTGTGGGTCCCTTAGGTCGAGGACATCGATGTTGGACAGAACAGGAAGGCTACCAGGAACATACCTATGAGCCTTCCACCCCCACAGGGCCATCTTTATTTTGTGTGTTCCCCTCAGAGCCTTTCTGTCCAGAATCCATAGGTGTTTTCCTCTGGAAGACACTCAGCCAGTACTGAGCGGCCCAGCCCTGTGGACGCGACACTTGCCTCCTTGCTGAGTGTGGGAGAGTCGTGGGGCCCTGGGGAGGCCCAGCCCAGCCTCGGGCAATAGGAAGACGCCCAGCAGCCACCTTGGGAAACCCAGTCTGTGTCAGGTCCCACGGGGCTGCTGATGACTCACATGACACAAGCAAGGATCCGTCTAGAACCTGCTTTTTTCCCCCCATTTCCATTTTCTTAACATTTTTAGATGATGAAGATATTAAAATATATTGGTTGTAATATGTGAAATATTTATATCCTTAAAAAAAATCTCCTGTTTTTAAACACAATATTAACCTCAACAATTTTTCCATGTTACTGTGTAGTTTTAGTAATGATCATTTTTAACAGTTTAACAGTTTAAAATTTTTTTTTTAATTTTTTTAATTTTAATTTTATTTTTTGGCTGCAGTGGGTCTTCGTTGCTGAGCGGGGGATACTCTTTGTCGCGGTGCGCGGGCTTCTCATTGCGGTGGCTTCTCTTGTTGCGGAGCACGGGCTCTAGGCGCGCCGGCTTCAGTAGCTGTGGCGCGCGGGCTCAGTAGTTGTGGCTTGCGGGCTCTAGAGCGCAGGCTCAGTAGGTGTGGCGCACGGGCTTTGTTGCTCCACGGCATGTAGGATCTTCCCGGACCAGGGCTCGAACCTGTGTCCCCTGCATTGGCAGGCGGATTCTTAACCACTGCGCCACCAGGGAAGCCCCAGTTGCAGTTATTTTTAATTGTACTTTTATTTAGTTAATTATTATATTTTAATTGCATTTTAAATTATTTTAATTATGTGTTTAAAAATTCATAGTGTAAAATTTACCCTCTTCCCCATTTTTAAGTGTACAGTTCAGGAGTGTTAGATTCGCACTGTGCGGTTGCAGTTTGGGGAGCCGTGTCACTGGCCTTCTTTCCTTGTGTTGGACGCTGAGGTGAGGCTTCCGGTTCTGCCTGGGAGCTGAGCTGAGGGTGTGAGATCCACACAAAGTCAGCGAAGAGAGCGGTTCCTTTACTACTGAGTAGAGAGAGGCACAGAATAGGCGAGTCCTTTGCTGCTTCCGAAGGTGGCAGCACCTGCAGAGAGCATCCCGACACAGTCCACGGTTGGGGGCTGCAGGGCCCTTGCGGGGAGCGGGTCTGGCCAGGGGGATGGGGCCCCGGGGGCTGCCGACTGACACGGAACCCGGTGCAGCCCTGACAGCGTACAGCCCGGCCGTGTTCGCGCTCAACGATGTGCTGAAGCAGCAACTGAGCCTGACACAGCAGTTCATCGAGGCCAGCCGGCACCTGCATGCATCCCTCCTGCGCTCCCTGGACCGGGACTCATTCCATTACCACACCCTGGAGGAAACCAAAGAGGTGACCATGGTGCAGCTAACCCTTCCCGGGAAAGAGAGGGCAGGCGGCTTCCCACGCTCAGCCCGGGGTGGCGGGGACGCTGGGGGCCCCGCCACCTTCACCTTCAGTCCTCGTGGAAGGAGTCCTGTTCTCTCTTTGGCCATGACCAGGGCTGGTGCGGGGCAGGGGCACTGAGAGCCAGCCGCAGCCCAGGCTCTGTGTGACCTCGGACCAAAGGTGACCTCCTCGGTGAGGGTCCTGTCCCTCTACCTACCGTTCCCATGGGCCACCACAGGCAGGGCCCCTCTCCTCAGTCCCAAGGGCTAAGCTCAAGGGATGTCACACTCACCTCTATTTTTCCCTCCAAAATTTATTTTTTTGTCTGATTACAAAAAATATTGTATAAAAATTTTGTTGGAGATATGTAGCCTATAAAGTTCTCCATAATTTCAGAGATGACTATTACCAACTTGATATATAGTCTTTAGATTTTTCCTATGTAAAATATAAACTGTTATGTACATGTACAATATTTTATCTTACATATTTTATACTATGTATAAAATATATAGAAGAGGTATAGTATTTATATATAATAACATGATATATATATTTCTTTACAGAAATGGCATCATACTATATGAGTTGTTCTGCATGGTGATTTTTATCATTTTATCTACAAATATTTCAGTATATATTTCTTAAAAATAAAGACTTTAAAAAAATAGTCACAATGCCAGTATACCAAAACCAAATTAACCTTTTTTTTTGGTTTTGCTTGTGGGATCTTAGTTTCCTGACTAGGGATCAAACCCGTGCCCTTGGCAGTGAAAGTGCAGAGTCCTAACCACCGGACAGCCAGGGAATTCCTGCAGCATTTTTTTTTTGTTTGGCTGTGTTGGGTCTTTCTTGCTGCGTGTCGGCTTTTCTCTAGTTGCGGCGAGCAGGGGCTACTCTTCATTGTGGTGTGCAGGCTTCTAATTAGGTGGCTTCTCCTGTTGCAGAGCGTGGGCTCTAGGCGCGCGGGCTTCAGTAGTTGTGGCTCGTGGGCTCTAGAGTGCAGTCTCAGTAGTTGTGGCACACAGGCTTAGTTGCTCCGCGGCATGTGGGATCTTCCTGGACCAGGGCTCGAACCCGTGTCCCCTGCATTGGCAGGCGGATTCTTAACCACTGCGCCACCAGGGAAGCCCTAAGCTTTCTTGATATCATTAGATATCCAGTGTTCAGATTTCCACTCATCTCATAAAAGTTGTACCTTTTTCTCCTGTTTATTTCATCAGTGTCCAAAGTGGTACATCAAGATCGTTTGGGGCTTCCCTGGTGGCGCAGTGGTTGAGAGTCCACCTGCCAATGCAGGGGATGCGGGTTCGTGCCCCGGTCTGGGAAGATCCCACATGCCGCGGAGCGGCTGGGCCCGTGAGCCATGGCCGCTGAGCCTGCGCGTCCGGAGCCTGTGCCCTGCAACGGGAGAGGCCACAACAGTGAAGAGGCCCGCGTACCGCAAAAAAAAAAAAGATCATTTGATGTCTTAATCTAGAGCAGTGGTTCTCAGCCCTGAGCAGCGTCAGACCCCTGAGGGCCTGACCACTGGGGTTGTGTTGGCAGCAGGGTGGGCCTAGCAGTGGGCATTTCTCCCATGGGCCCATTGGGGACCCACTTTGAGAACCACTGCTCTAGAGGTCTTCCCCCCTCCCCCATCTCTTTGGTTTCCTTGCAGTTTACTGGTTGGAAGAAAACAGGTTGTCCTGGGACTTCCCTGGCGGTCCAGTGGTTAAGACTCTGCACTTCCAATGCAGGGGGTGTGGGTTCGATCCCTGGTTGGGGAACAAAGATCCCACATGCTGCACGGTGTGGCCAAGAAAAAGAAAGAAAATAGGTTATCTGACGGTTTCCCACATTCTGGACTGGGCTGATTGCTCCCCAGTGGGGTCCTTTTAACTTGTTCCTCTGTTGGATGTGCATCAGTTGATTGGATGCAGGCTGAAGTGATCTGACTATGTCACCTGCCTGCAGCCCACGTGTGGCTGCCTGCTCTCTGCTCCAGGCCCACACCCTGAGAGTGGCACCCAAGTCCTTCTCCCCAACCTGTGTCCTCTGAGGGCACCCCGGGTAGCCCTGCCCCTCACCACGGTCCCTTTTCCCTTCCAGGCTCAGTCAGGGCTCACCCCTTGCAGGGTACCTGCCCGGAGGCTGCCTGGGTTCACCTCTCCTCTTCTGTTTCCATTGCCACCTGGCATCCCTTCATTTTTTCTGTTAGCCCCTGGGGATAGGCACCATCTCCAGGACCCAGAGCCTCAGTAGACTGAGGCAGCAGTGGTGATGGCTTCCCTGTGTGTCCTCTGCCCCACAGTACATCAGGCAACACAGGCCCACCCCGCTGACCATGGAGGAGGCCCTGGAGGAGGTGAAGAAGGAGCTGTGAACGCCGGGAGGTGAGACAGACTCATGGGTCTAAGGAGCTGGTCCCGTAAACCAGCCGTGACGCTCACACCTTAGTTCCCAGGGGACATTCCCAGTGGTGGGGGCAGGTGGCACCCAGGACTCACCTGAGAGGAATCCCAGCTGCAGCCTTTTCTAGCTGAGTAGTTGAGCCCTCCCAGCCCCCATTTCCTCAGTGTGCATGGCACCTGAGAGGACGTACCACAGGCCAGTGGAAATGGAACCCCAGGTGGAGCTGTCACCACTCGTGGCAGGACAGAGGATGCCAGCCTGTCTGGAGCCACGAGGAAACAGGACCAGGCGTCCACGCCGGGGACTCCCAGGAGACACCAGGGCAGAGCTTCTGACCCAACTCCACAATTCAGACAAAGTCTGCACTCAGGACGCACCTCCTCCCTCCTCAGCCTGAGCACGCTTCTTGACTTAAATGCACAGAGGAAAAAGGTCTTTAAAAAAAAAGTCTTTATTTGAAGGCAAAACAGTAAAATCCACAAGAAATTGTTAACAACACGTTTACATTTTATCCTGAATCAGACACGTTTGAACAATTCACAGCTACAGGAAATCTAGAACAAAATCAAATATTTTACCACATCAGGTGGAAAAGTTGGAGAAAATTTTGCAGCTCATTGAAAAGAATTTTTCAAAAATGTTTCTGTACAAATAAATGGCACCGCACCAAGCTGCCTGCGGATGCCGAGTGCAGCCGATCCCAGACGGTCGCTCAGCAGCTCCCGGCAGAGGCGGCTCCCTCCAGCCTCACCTCCCTTTGGGGGCGGCTTGGGGCAGGCAAAGGAAGTGACAGAGCAGGAAGCAGGGCCAGTGGTCGCTCTCCACACTCTGGATGTGAATGGGCCGTTGCACGTGAGTGCTGGTGTGCGGGTTCCTCTCCGTGAAAAACACAAGTAGAGACACTAAGGGTACGTATTCTCCAAGGGCTTCATCATTATGTGTCCTGGAGATGCCTCAGATAAGTTTCCTCAGAACCTTTTGTTTCTGCAGGCAACAGCAAATGGCTAACGTTCAAACAAAAACAAAAACAAAAACCAAAACAAAAAAACCCACCTCAACTTAAACAGCTTAAGTAACTAAGGGCTAGTATGTCTCAGAGGAATCAGGTTTCAAATTATCTCACTGGGTATCAACCTAGATCAGTACTTTTTTCTAAAACTAAACCATTTGGAGTAAAAATGAAAACCCTGTTTAACTTTGCAAATCAAAAAGGTTTTGTTTTTCCATTTTTAGAGTGAGCAGTACCAGCGCCTGGCCTGAGCCTTCTCACAACTGATGGGGGAGTGGGAGGGCCGGCCCCTTGGGCTGGGCTGGCGTGTGCCCTCAGGGCCCCTCCTCCATGCACTCCCACTGGTTTTAGAGGCTCAGGCTGAGGGGAGATGTGAGACAGCCGTTCCTGCAGAGGACAAGAATTCTTATCCAGGGGCCTTATGTTTCTCGCTTCACTGTCCAGGGAAATAAGCTCATTGTCGAGTTGGCTGGGCATCTCCTCGTGACTCTTGCTGCTACGTTAGAGCTGGTTTGCAGGTGGGGCCTGGGCCTTCCGTGCCATCAAGCGTGGCACTCGTCACAAGGCCTGCCGAAGTCTTCCTTCTCTTCTGTCGCTCCCCACAGACGGAGACAGTGTGAGAACCGAGCTGTCCCTACCATCTTCCACTGCCAGTAAGCCAAGAAGGGTCCAACAGTCCTCGCTGCCGGTGGCCGGCCACTGGCGTGGCTCCCTGCCCACGCCGCACCTACTTGCACTCGTCCCTGGCCTTCATGCGGGCGATGAAGGAATAGCTCTTGTTCCTGCGGTAGTTCTCGTAGGGGTCGTCCAGGGCCACACCCACACCCTTGTACTGGTCCCACTTATCCCGGACGTCCCCCCCCTTGATGGGGTCCTGGATTCCTTGCTCTTTCACGCCGAGGCCGCCAGATCCACTCCAGCCTGAAGAAAAGAGGGATGAGTGGTTACGACCCACAGAGGAAGCTGAAATTGTGGTGCATTTACCCTGACATGAAGTTAAATGGAAATGCGTTTGGAGAGTCGAACGACATGCAGACGTGCAGTTTATAAATGGGAAACTAAGGGTAGTAAGAAAGGACGCTCAGTAAAAACGCTGCAGGCTCAGAAGTTGGTCATGAGTTGGAGCTTCCTCTGACTTCATCATCCCCCAACCCTGAATGCCCAGAGCGGATTGTTCTGTCTTCCCAGGAACCTTACCCATTTTCACCAGCATCTGATGTCCTTTGTTCTCTTCCCCGAGCCTGGAGTCAGGTATAGGAGGTGCTGAATTAGAACCCAGACCAGCCGAGGAACTAAAATTAAGACAGGTTACGTCTTTTAAAAAAGAGCTGGTACATTTATTGGAATGAAAACTTAAGAATATTACAGCGTGTAGCTTATACGTAGGGTCACCAGCGTGAGATGGACACACACACACACATTTCGTGTCTCTAGCTTTCTTCTTTATCCTCTTCGCCGGCAGATAAGGGGGTTCCCTAAGACGGCGGCCACTGCCTCACACTCGGCGGCACAGCCAGGCCACACTGGACCCGTAAAACGGTTAGAAAATAGAGAGCGCAGCCACTGCCTCAGGCTTTACAACGTGACTGCAGAGGTAACAGCGAGGTGTGAGATGAGGTGCCACTGTGAGGTGCCACTGTCAACTGTGCTAGTGCTCGGGGGCCCCGAGGTGCTGCCTTGGCGCGGGCCACCGCCAGCGCGTCTTCTAACAACACGTTTCAACATTCACAGCAAAGCATCAGAGGGTTCCAGCGCTACCAGAGGTCATTCTGACAGTTAAGACAGAAATCTTACGGCGGGGTGGGGCTCCTGGACCGCGACCGACGTCTCCTTCCCGGGGAATAGGACTTGGACCGAGAGCGAGAGCGGGTCCGGGAGCGGCTTTGTGAGGAGCGTGATCGGCTGCGGCTCCTGCGGGGCCAGGGGAGAGGAGGCGGGTCAGCGCAGCTGCGGAGGAGCCTCAGGCCTTGCATCCCGAGAGGCGGGGCCCTGCCTACCTGGATCTGGAGCGGGAGTAGGAACGGGAGCAGGAACGAGACCTTGACCTTGAATAGGAGCCGGAAGACTTGGAGGACCTCGAGTTGGAGCGGGAGGAGGAGCGCCCTCGGCTTTTGGATCTGCTCCGAGACCTCGAGGGTCCGCTGCGGGGACAGGCCTGGTGAGCCGGAGCCCCTCCATGGACTGCGCCCAGCCCGCCCCAACCCCCAACTCTAAAAGACCCCCCATGTGCCCAGTCCAGGTGCAGACACGCCCTTTCACATCAGGGTTGAATACAGACAATGGCAAGCTTCTCTCTCGTACTGGTGTTTTAACTTCGGCCTTGTGGGAAACAGCTCCTGGTGGCTCACAGCACCTTTATCGTAGGGTGCCAGGCCCACGACCCAGGCAGAGGCCAGAGCTGACCCCCCTTTGCCTGCGCCGGGCACACCACCACAGCGCGCCACAGGCAAAGGCAGGGCTTGCTGCCAGCTGACCTAGGACAAGATGCACTGCGGAGGCCTGACCTCCACACAGGTGGCGGGGTGGGCGTGTGCACTCTTACCTGTTCCTCTTCTCCTGGCCTTTCCTCCGCCGGGCCCGCATTTTCGCTCGGAAGAACTCATAGAGGCCATTCTGCTCCCAGCCTTCACTGTAAGACATGGGCGTCCCCTGTATGAACGCAAGCCTCCCTCCCACAGGGAACTTGTGAAAAAGTCACCAGGAATAAGCCCTACCCGACAGGCCTTCCCTCTTTCACTCAGGATGCTGAGCAAGGCCCAGCACAGAAAGCACTCGGGTGGTCATTGCCACAGGGCTGCCCTTTCTCAGAGGAGCGACCAGGCCCAGAGGCCAGGCCGCCCGCTGGGAGGTGGAGAGGCTGGACTGCACTCCCAGCGCTTCGTGGCTCCCACGCCTTTCCACGCTGGGCTTTCCCCAAATAGTTGAAGAGGGTCTCAGGGTTACTGTAACTGGGGACGAGGAACTCTTGATTTGTAGGTGGATAGGCCCGTGGCCCCAAACAGGGCAGAAGACGATTTTAACTGAAGCGAGGAGGCCGCTGGAGGAGGGGATCCCGAGGTAAGCTCTTGTTCTGATGTCTCTAACGTGGTAAAAGCCTTTTATTTATGGCACACATCACGCAAGCTGAGGGAGAATCGGCATCTCCTAACCACACTTTCTCACCTGGGCCTCACACCGCCCTGGGTGGAAGGTGCGACGGTTCGGAGTCTTTCTTGTGAAGCAAACTGAGGAAGACGGGCCAGGAGAGGGGACAGGGGCCTCCCCTCCCATCACCAGCCCCAGCGCCTGGTCTCCCGAAGCCCCGTACCTGTTCCTGGGTCTGTCGTGTGAGGGAGGGCTGTAAAAGGCCTCCACAGCCGCCAGCAGCCTCTCACTGGGCGGCATGGGGGGGGGGAGGCGGATGTCTTTAGGATCCAGAGGCTTGTACTCGTGGTCTTCCAGCTACGGCAGAGCACACAGCCGTCACTGCTCCCTGCTGGGGCCCACCCAGGGAACTGCAGGGGCGGGGGAGTCGGGGAGCCGGAGAGCCGGGGGCAGGACACAGTTGCCCTGCGCATCAGAGTGCCTCATCCGGCCCTTCCTGGGAAACCCCACCCTCCCGGAGGGTTTGGCCACACCAGTACTTCAATTCCTAAATGGGGTGGTTGAGGGCTTCATGGAAGTCGACAGAAGCTACAGATTTCTCTCTACAAAAATGCAGAGGAGACGTGGCCTCCAAGCTCAGGTGAAGGAAAGACCCCTGTTAATTCACCGACACGCCGTGGATCCCAGACACCCTCCCCTGCCAACCACCGCCCTGTGCCCAGGCGCCTACCCCAGGGGCCCTGCTATGTGCCCCTTTCTCTGCTCCAGCTCCTACCCCGAGGGCAGCCCCGCTGGCGCCGCTGCCTCCCCTTGCTGCCCCAGCGTGACCTGTCTCAGCTTCCAGTATGCTAATGTCTCAGAGGGGCCGGGGAGTGGCAGTGACCAGTACAGCCAGCATGACCCTCAGAGTGCCCTGAGCCCCAGCCCTGGCTCCCTTCTGACCCCCTCTCCTGCCTTGCTCACCTTGCTCAGCTGGAGACCACCCCTTTTCTGAGAAATCCCTGTCATCAGCCCCTGGGCAAGGTGGCTTCCAAAGGCCAGGACCAAGAGGACCTGCACCTCACGCCCAGCCCAGCCCAGCCCAGCCCACTCTGAGCAGCTACCAAACTTGCAGCCCCAGGAGGGAGGCTCGGAGGAAGCAGAGGGGGACACGGGCCTTGCTCGCAGCCACATGTGAGCACGCGAGGCGGTGCTGCTGGCTCAGGCACATCCTCTCTGACTACTTGTCAGGCTCGCTGGGGTGCGGGAAATGAGAGGGGCAGGGGCCCTGGGAAGCAGTGTTTTGTAGCCAATCGGGAAATGGGTTCCACCTGTGAACTTTCCACGTGGAGACCGAGCATTCAAGGCTAAGCTTGGCATTCAACTCCACAACATTACCTTCACGAGGGGGGCCATCAGCCCGGCAGGGAGATCGAAGTAGGGCACGTTGGGGACCAGGCTGGGGTCGTCGTGGTTGATGTGGGGAGGGCCCTGTCGCCGCATATGAGGGGGCTGCCCGTTGAAGCCGTGGGGAGGAGGGCCGAAGTCAGGGTGCTGGGGCCCACCCCAAGGCGGGTGCTCGTTGATCCCAGGGTGAGGCATGCGGTGGCCAGGATGGTGGTGAGGGGGTCCCATCTCTGCAAAACAGAAACTTGACTCAGGCCTACCTCAAAGTCGAGAGCTGGGCAACACCAACAGCCCGGTCGAGATCTCCAGGGTAAAAAGCGCCAGTGGAAAGGGGCTCAGAGTGGGGCAAGGACGCCCACACCCACTTCCTGGGCAGCCCTGCCCAGCACCAACCCTCCGGCTGCTTCATTCACTGCTCAGGGCCACACAGCAACGGGGGAGGAGCCGGGGCTCAGAGTGGCCTGTCCTGCACCCACAGCAGCGCCTGACAGACCTCACGGGTGAAAGAAGGAACCACAAGGGAAATCACATAACCTTCAAACAGCCATGTTATGAGCCAAACCGTGTTCCCTGCAAATTCACCCCCAGTACCTCAGAATGTGACTGCATTTGGGAATGGAGCCTGTAATGAGATGACTACTTTAGATGAGGTCCTATGAGTGGGCCCTGATCCAATACTGACTGATGTCTTTCTAAGAAAAGGAGATTAAGAGACAGACACACACAGAGAAGACCACGGGAAGACACAGGGAGAGGACAGCCGTCTACAAGCCACGGGGAGAGGCCTCAGTAGAAACCAACCCCGCTGACACCTTGATCTCGGACCTCCAGCCTCCAGAACTAACTGTCAGAGAAGAATTCCCTGTTGTTGGGGGCACCCAGTCCATGGGACTTTGTTGCAGCAGCCCCAAGACACTCACACAAGCAAGAAACCTGCTACTGGTCTCCAAGCTCAATTTACAGTCAAGGATGGATTTGAGGATAAAGATTGAAGGGCAGGAGAGTTGAAATGAAATTTTTTAGTAAACACAAGATCGAGAAAACTAAAGATTCTTCAAAAAGAAAACAGAACACCTGACGAAAACAGCAAGACGAGGAGCAGGGAATGGCACAAGGGCTGCCGGGCCTGGACTCAGTGGCTCGCTCACTACCTGTCTGTCCACCGTGGGGACTAGGGAGTTCCTTTTCCTTTCAGAACCCCAACGTCCTTCCTCTTTTGCGAGATACAGGGCCTCACACCTCAATAGCTGGCCTGGTGCCTGGCGGTGCCCACACCAGGGTTGCCGGCGTGGTTGCAGGTTGTCCCTTCCTGAGGGACCGAGCTGGACTCCTCTGGCCCTCCTCCTGTCACCCTGGCTCAGGGCACACCAGGCCACACGGCAGGACTGCCAGCAGTGCCACCAGCCCGCTCAGAAGGCCGGTCCGTCAGGCGCCTCTTCCAGGCCCTGCCGGCGAGTGATCTGACCTTCTCAGGGATCACAGGGCAGGAGAGGGACGTGATCCCTGGCCCGAGGACGGTGCCCCCGAGGGCGACCTTGCACTCACCGGCTTGGAAGTCCCCCTGAGGGTAGTCAAAGCGGTGAGGGTAGGGCGGCCGCTCGAAGGGGTGCCGAGGGGGGAAGTCGTCCTGCATGAAGCGGGGCGGGAAGCGGTTGAAGTTGTGTGGGTGTGGCGGCTGGCTGAACTGTGGGTGCTGCTGGTGGGGCGGGAAGGGCCCGCGGAAGTGTGGCGGCCGCTGCATGCGGAAGGGCGGCTCACGCTGGCCCCCGCCCCAGGGTGGCTGCTCGTGCTGGCTGTTCCAGGGGCCCTCGAACTGGTTGTTCCAGTTGGGGTCGGGCTGACTGTTCCAGGGGGCGTCGCGCTGGCCATTCCAGCCAGGGTCCCCACGCTGCTCGCCCCACATTCCCTCGTGGCTGTTGTTCCAGGGCGGGCAGTGGGGTGGCCCGCCCTGGTGGTGTGGGTAGGGGGGCTGCTCAGGAGGCTGCAAGGCAAAGAGCAGACGTGAGACCCAGCCTGCACTGGGCACGCGGGGCACCCAGCAGAGACCTGCCGACCTCAGTCTCCGGCGGTGGAGGTGACCCGGCCCCAAGCCCAGCACCCCCCGGAGCTGCAGGCCTACAGCCTGGCTGGGCGCTGCCACCTTCACTCTGACGCGTGCAGAGGATGCCGTGGTGCCCGCCCGTGCCCCAGGCCCAGACTCTCAAGTGCTGTACCTGCATCTGGGCTGGGGAGCACCCCCTGACCCCATGCCTGACAGAAGCTGGGGGATGAACAGCCCATGAGCCCCTCAGTGGGACAGTGCAGGGGTGCGGCCCCACCACTCCCAGGGCACAGAGGCTGAGCCGCAGGGCCCATGGCAGAGCCCGCCCTGACGACATCCCATCCCTGCCTGTTCTCCCTTCCCTGTCACTTCTCTTCCCTACGCTGCCTCCTGGGGTCACCTGCCCTCTCACACCCTTATCTCAGAGTCTGCTGTGTTACCAGGAAATGGCTTTCTATAAGTTGAAGACCATAAGCCCTGGAGCTTGCCCAGCTGCTGCTTTGAAGACTTAAAGAGCCAGGACTGCAACCCAAACTCAGGGCCAGGGTGGCCTGTGCCTGGGTGAGGCTGCCCAGAGGGCCACCTCTAGGGTCAGGGCTGGGTGGCTCCACTGACCACAAGCACAGGGAGGCTGGCCCCGGCCGCCACACGCTCAGGTTTCCCAGAGAAGCCAAGAAGGCAGATTTTCAATATGGCAGCTATTTCAATATGTAAGACACCACGTGGGCAGCCCAGGCTGTGGTTTCCTATTGTGGACCGTGGGTGCACTGCTGGCCTT